GTGGTTCCTTGTTTCCTGTCTTATTGTGAAAGTCTTTGTCTTATGTTAGTGTGTGCAGCTTAGCTCCCCCGTCTCGTTAGCCCTGATCTCCCCCAGCTGTGTCTCCCTTCTGTTACCCATTCCCTGATTACCACCCTGTGTATATTAGCCCTGTGTTGTCCTCAACCCAGTGTCGCGTCGTACCCTCAGATCCTGCCTGTGTGTTCCAGTTAGTGTTTTCATGTTTGGTTTCTGTTTTGTTGGTGCCAGCAATAAAGCTGTGGTTTTCAGTTATATTTCCATCTGAGAGTCCTGCACTTGGATCCACATCTCCACCTGCCTGCACACAGAGCCCTGACACAGATTTTCTATCAGACTGAAGTCTGGAGACTAGTTTGGCCACTCCATGACCTTAATGTGTTTCTTCTTTAGCCTCTCCTTGTTGTGGGTCAGTGTCATGTTAGAAGACCCATCCACGACCCATCAGTGTTCGGCCTGAGGGAGGGAGGATTGCAGTACATTGCCACATCTATTAGTTCCTGAACAAACTGAACCTGTCCTGTACCCTTAGCAGAAAAATAGCCTCAAAGCATAATGTCTCCACCTTTGTGCTTGGCTTTGGGGGTGGTGTTCTTTGACTTATACTCAATATTTCTCTTTGTCCATGCGGGTCAAGTTCGAGACCCACCATGGGTCCAAAACTTGACCCATCATGGAGCTAGATTTTGCTTTCACCTAACCATAATTCTTTCTTCTAATCCTTCTCTGAGTTATTTAGGTGTTCATTGTAAAACTGTAAAACTTCTTGAGCAGAGGGACTTGCAAGATTTCAGTCCATTGCAGCATGTTCTTGGTTACTGTGGTCCACGCTGCCATAAGGCAAGATCATGCATGAAGCTCCAGATCGAGGACGACTGATATTATATTTCTTCCATTTCCCAGTAATCATGTAGACAGGTGTCTCCTTCTGACCAAGGTCTTTAGTCTATTCCATTCTTTTGCAGGTCTACTGTCTCGTCCCTGATGTCCCTTGGTTGGCCTTTGGTTTTGAGTATCATAGTGGAGAGGTTGAAACTGTCAACAGATGTGGTACATGTGCATAATGAGTTTGGATCATAAACATGTGTAACTGACTGATTGTAAGCTGTGTGCCACATCAGTGAGAGTCAGAATTCTTGCAGGTTTGTAGTGGATCAAAGACTTATTTCACACAGTCACATGCAAATCATTTTTTTGTGAGTTAGGAAATTCAAAAATCAGCAGGGGGTCAAATGATTATTTCCTAGCTGTACAGGAGGCGCCATCAACAATTAACAATCCGCTTATGTAAAAATTACAACAGAAAATCTGTTTTTAACTTTTTCGCGTTATTCACACAACATGTGAGAACCTGTTTGAAAATCACGACCATTTGAAGCCTCTTCTATTTTAACTATTCTGTCTAAATTTCCTCCACACTGCACAATGAACCAAAGGAGCAGCGACTTACAGGGATAGGCTGACATTTGGGAAAATACCAAAACCATTCACATGATGAAGTGTGGTGTTAGAGCACACAGAGGAGAAAGCAGCTCTTTCCCCTCCATTCAGAGCCTAACATCGATCTCTCGTCTCCTCTGAGCTACCAATTAACTTAAAAAGATTTAAAACAGTGGCTGTTGTTTTTACATTTATGTGTACTGACAGAGAAAGCTACATGCCTCCTCCTTCCACTCTCACAAACAGACAAAATGTAAGACTGCTCTCTTTAAAGGAATTGTTCCCTTTACACAATAAGGTCCAGACATCCGTTCATAGAAAGAAAATTGGAAGACCCCAGGGTAACAGGATCATCCTGCATAATCAGTTTGCACCAGTTTGCAGAGTCTTTACTAACATTTGCCGCATTGCTTGTCAAAAAATCATTTTAAAAAAATCACTACAGATGAGCTTTTCCTGGATTCAGAGTAAGAGAAGTAATAAAGTGAGAGAGAAAAATGCTTTCGATTTGAAAATAAGTACAGAGATGTTTGCTCAGTTCTTCCTGTGCAGTTGACACTGCAGATCTGCTATTTTTTATTCAGCTAACACAACATATTAGTCTGCTATGCGTTCAGCTTTGCTTCCACTCACTCTGAGATGTGAGCAAAGATGTCTTCACCGCCGTGGGAAGGTTGGATGAAACCGTGACCTTGTGACCTGGAGAAGTTCTTACATACTCCTTTAAAAACTGGACCTGAGTGAGCGCGCACAGTGCTGTGGACAGAAAGAGGAAGACAATGAAATCGCTTACATCAACAATAAAATAGGCTTTTTATAGTCCAAAAGCTGTTCTGTTCCTCCAGCGGAGAGTAAACAAACAAGACAAAAAGCAGTTTGGAACAATGCTTATGTGATACATTTAATGGGTCACACTCTTTCAGCCTGACAAATGCAGGCGTGGGATAACAGAGAGAAGCATTTAACAAGGAGGTGAGAAAAGCAGATGAAGTGCTGATGAAATCTGCTCCCACACACACTGCCTCACAACGTCACGGTGTAACGACAGCAGAGACGAGAGCACTAATCTGCTGAGGCACAATCGTCCCACGATGTGTCAGTCCTTCACACATTCTGAGTAACAATACTGCAATTTAAAATTACTCTGTAGCAGGTAAAAGTACTCAGCAACCTGGGGTAACCTGTCGGTCAGTGTTGGATCAGATAGTTTAATGTTGCTGCTGTATTGAGTCAAGGTGGAACTACATTAAACTATTTTATATACCTTTAACTTAAGCATACTTAAGTTAAAGCAGTATCTTAATTGCCTCTTGGGGATAAATAAAGTCTCTCTGATTCTGGTTCTGATTATTCTCTTAAATGTAAGCCAAGCATTTTTTTTTAAAAAGTAAGAGATGGAAACATTGAAGTAAGATGCAAGTGCATGAGAACTTTTCATCTCTCACTGCTTTGTAAATAATCTAATAATACGTACGCAGAGTATGTGCGGGTGCGTTTGGTCGGCAGTGGGCTGGGCAGTTCTCGCGGCAGGGGCTGCTCCCTTCCTTCCTCCCACACCCGGCTCCTCTCGCTCAAGAAGGGGAAGGACAGGGTGACAGAGCTGCTGGGGGAACGCAGAGGGGTCCCAGAGGGCGATGTGAGACTGGGGTCCGCCATGTCAGACGTGATAAAGAAGAGGACGATTTAGGGGTGGGGGGGTGTTGTAGATGTAGCTGCTGACACTGCTGTCTGTCTTCCTGTGTATCTGTTAGCCCGTATGCTCAGAGGGGCCCGCCTCAGTTTGGGAAACAGGTCTGGGGGAAATTCAGGTCAGCGCTGTTGCCTCAGGTCTGTTAGGAGGACTAGCTGTGAGGAAACAGAGAGCAAGAGAGACCAGGGAGATCAAGGAGCTGTCATATTTTGGCCTGATGGTTGAAGCCAAAAACCACAAACAATTCAAAGAACTAGATCCAAATGTATGTCTTCATATAGATAGATGAAGTTCGCTGAAGGAGAAGAGTTATTGTGCAAGCGAGTAGTGTAAATCGCGTTAATTAACAATACATACTCTATAAATCTGCAGCCCTCCATGCACATAATGATTCACAAAGCTGGGAGATTTGTCACTGACAGATTAATAAGATGAGCAATGCAACTGGATGCCAACATCTCACATTTTTAAATCCTTAGCAGAGGTCCTAAGACATGGCACAGTTAAAGCTCAGTTCTTCCTTTCAGGTTAAGAAGAGTCACTAAAAGCATTATTTAGCTGTTTCTGTGTTTGGATAAGTGCATAGACTCATTTTGGGATTGCCTCTTTGCAAATATTGATAATATTCAACTTACAGCTACCTGAATTCCACTTCCAATCAATGTATCAATTTTACTCAACTAAAACTAATAACATGGTCCTGAAAACTAACATCATAGTCTATATTTCATATAAGCTGGGTAGGATATAGCGTGTGTGTATAGGGTGTATTTTTCTTTACGCCCACTCATCTGATGATGCAGGCACGCTACGTGACGTCAAAACAGCTGCAGAAGTCCGCGGAGAGTGGCGCGTTCGTGACGTCAGTGTAATCCCAGAGGACTAACATAATAGAAGGCCCACTTATACTAGCACCTGATATGGCAGTCTGCATGCAAATAAATAAATTAATTAAATTAAATTTAAAGAAAAGCAGCTCTCTGCGTGAATGATAGGTGACTTTTAAGGTGTTTATCACAGAGGGGGGAAAGAAATGAAGCGACAGTTTTCACTTTTACCCACATGCAACAGCTGGAGAACATCTGAATGACAAAATGAATCAAGCAAAAAGAATTTAGATGGAAAGGCCTGACTGATTGCGGAGTCTGTCCTCAGAGAATCCACTATTATACACTTTACAACCGGATAAACTGTCGTTTCCTTTGTTTTCGTTTTTCATAGCATAAAGAAACATTTTCCTCGACTCACACCTGCAAGGGTGCAATTTCTGCGAAAAATAAGCGGATAAAGCGCTCTGTGTGCTCTGTGTAAGTTGGAACAAAAGCAGAGTGAAAAGTGGCTTCGTCAACAGTCAGAGAGACGACGGAAGGCGACCGATCCTCCACACAATCAGGAAAACACACATCAAGCCTGTCTTTTTCTGATCCAGCTCTGACTCTCAATCAGGCGTGCAAAGAATACAGTACGTCCCGATCCAAGCACAAAGACACACTGACACACACACCCTCTCTGCTGGCACTTACACACGTATGCATTCCCAGAAATGATACTTACTGCATCTGTTCCGTTAGTAGGCTGAGGACGGACAGGGAGTGAGTGCGTGTGTTTTAAGTCAGTGCGTATTATATAACGAGTAATTAAATAAATAAGCCAAATCCGCGCAGATCGACGGAAAACCCTGATGTGACGAAGAGAGGCGGGGGAGTGTAGGGGGGGGTTGCTGGTGAGTCTGCGCAGCTGGCGGAGATTCCGATGCCGTGATGTGACTGTGTGTGGGAGAGAAAATGACTTCCCTCATTCCTTGACTTCCATGCCAGCCTCGTGTGGTGAAGGCTGGTTTCACCGTGTATGTCGTTTATGCGCTGCTACTGACGGCTTTGCATTTATAGATTTATACTGATGACTGCTGACAGAGTCAGGATGCAAAAATGAGCTCGTGTTCACATTATTTAGTACCCTACATAACGCTACTTATTCAAATGCTGACTTAGTTCATATGTAACATTTCTGCTGCTCCCTTTCCAGCGCAGACTGTCCTTGTTTCACAACCTCAACCATGCAGTTGTCACATGAAACAGTCCACTGATTGCACAATAAACACATCTGTGTGTGTGTAGACTGACATTAAGTGTGCAGAGGGCAGATCTGACTGTGTCCTTCACTGCCCATTACACTGAAGGATTTAAAGGCTGCTCACTAATCCTTTCTGATATACTTTCTATAATCACACAGAATGAAAAATCCACAGAGCAGCTAGCTCTCATTTCGACTTTTATTGTGGGGGGGAAAAACAGGAAGGGGTGGGGGGTTAGCACACACTGAGGATGTGTGCAGCAGATCCTGGAGGTGGAGGTATGTCAAATAAAAATAACATCTTTTACAACATGCAGTGCTGGTGACATATTCTTTTTGATTTTGCCACTGGATGCAGTTTATATATACAGTAGGGTCACACTTATTTCTCCCCCCTGCCTGAAAGATTTCAACTTAATTACATTAAATGGTAAATAATATTCTTGCATAAAGTCAGTGCTTCCATACAAACTGTCTCGTCCCTTTTAAATTACCCCACGTTGTGCATGTGACACAGAAAGGACTGCTGCTCAAAAGGCACCAAGGAAGAACTGGTTCTCCATCACACGGATGCCACATGGGTGGAAACAGGCACCAAAACAGTGGGGCTCAGCGACCTTTGCCGAGGGTCCCTCGTGCCTCAGATCGGCTATGATGTTTGAACAGCTAGCGTTAAAGACTCAGTGCTAGCTGTTCCACCATGACAGCAGCCCGAGCCCTGGCTCACAGATGGTGCCCTGAAACAAAAAGTGGAAAAGGTCAGGGTGGGTGTGATCCTTGACTTTTAGAAGAGTTCAAGCCACTGCACATCCACAAGGCTGTGTAGGTCTCTTGTTTCAGGAAAACGTATACATACCGGTCACATCATACTTCAATTCTTGGTGTAGTAAACACAAAGAAAATCAATGCTGGCTACTTTCACATAAAGCTGAAGAGCTGAAAAGAGCAACTTGTCACTATGGAAGAACTCAGATTTTACAGATGCCACTCACATTATCTATTCTGCTTACAGGTCTTGTTCATTATGAATTTTCCATCAATTTTCTCCAGTTTTAAGCATCAATTAAGCTTCTAAATGATCTCCGGGTCTGAACACAACACAGAAACAGCAGAAAAAAAAGCTTCCAAAAAGCTAAAAGCTCCACTGCCACAAGTTTGACATTATTTTGCAATCCAGCATTTAAAAAGTTATCTATAAATAAGCAAGTACCTAATTTTGTATGCATGAGTAAAGAGAGACAAAACTATTTGGGGCTTGATAAATTTTTTTAACATGCACACACATAACATTTTAATAGTGACCCATTTTTAGACATGAATGTAATGATATTTGTCTCGCATCGGTGCTGCACCTTCCTCTTACTTCTTTGTACACTAATGTAAATGTCCTGTATCAGTCAGGTTAGGTAAAGATAGCAAAGTTTATGGTCTTCTACTGCACTGCAAACAGGAGTCAGGAGTTCATAGGAAATATCTACTTTAATCAAGTGTTTTATCTTGCTATCTCTAGATGTCCGAGCTCCCAGCATCATTTTCATGAGACCGAACAGCACGACCATAAGAAACGAGGTCTAGCTCCAAAGGTGCTCCCCCCAGAAAAGCTAGAGAACAAAACTGCTATTGCCTTCTTGTTTTTTTTTCTTAGCTTGTGACACTGACACAACACATCCCACTGCCTAACACAGAGGGATGCAAAAGTCTTGATCACTTTAGTCACACAGTGGTAATTACTTCTTTCACTAGAGCGATGAAAAGGATGGTTTAAAAAAAAAAACTTTTCTTGAGTCCATTTAGAGACAGCTTGGTAAGAAAAACCTGGTTGACTCCTTCAGCCATACAGATGAAGGCAACGCCTTAATTACCACACGGTTACTGTTAGCGCCATAATTTGTTGGGCACTTTTTTGTCGTTTTTGCCTCTCAACATCACTGCAGTGGATTTTATATCGATCAGTCATAATGCGAGCTTTAATTCAAGGGGTTAAAGGAAAGCATTGCATTAAGTGTTACCAGTGTTGGGAAGGTTACTATTAAAATGTATTCCAAAATGAGTAACAGTAGGGTGGACATTAGGTAAGGCTGCAAATTTTGCAGCGATCTCCTATAGAAAACTATTCCGCGCATATATAAAACAGGTCCACGGCTCCGAACCGTAGTAAAGGGACCTCTGGCTAATGTGTTGGGCTTCACGTCATAATGCAGGCTGCATGTAGAGGTGACCTGGGCCGCGAGATTGAGACACAGGCATTGGAGCCTCTTAATGCATGTTTTTTGGGGTTTCCACCAGCGTGGAATTACCAAAAATAGAGAGTGCACAGCCTAACATATGAAACAGGAAAAGACCGCTGTGTAATCCATCGCTTTCAACAAAGTAACATTATTCTGAATACCACCTCTTAAAATGGTAACTGTAACAAAATACAGTTACTCATATTTTGTATTTTCAATACGTAACGCCGGTACATGTATCCCAATACTCCAGACATTTTTATACAAAGTCCGTCATGTACAAAGGCTCAGAATTAACTGATCAACTGGTTAATTGTCATTTAAAAATAGAGATAGTTTTTAATAACTGGATGGAAACACTTTGTAGTCAGTGACTGTGAACTCTTGAAAGGCCCGTGGTCATTGCCAAATGCTCCGTCTCCTCCTTTGAGATGCTCTACCTCATTCAGTAGCTGCTTGTTTGTGTTGTATTTGTGGGTGTCGGGTGACTGACTCAGCCACCGAAGAACCTCCCGTTTCTTGAGTTAAATTTACAGTTTCATTCGGGTCATTATCCAGTTTTGCGGCATTTGTCTGAATCTCAACAGCGAGTTCAGCGCTCTACACTTCACAATTTATCCTGCTGCTTCAAAAATGGGTAACGTCATCAATAAACACCAGTAAACCAGTTACACAGGTATGTCTATATGTATATATGCAATAACATTTCCACTGCAACACTTCCATGTTTGACAGGCAATGCGGTATTATGTGGCTTATCACTCCTTCATACTTTCCTCCATCTGTCAGTCAAGTTCGTCTTGATTTCTCCTTGTTGCTCTTTTAGATGTTTTCAGGTGAGATCTAATCTTGCCTTCTTATCCTTGAGTGTAACCAGCAGTTTGCACTTTGCTATAAACTCTCTGTATTTCCATTAATGAAAGTGTCTCTAGCTTGTGCACTTTGGCACACCTCAAAAGTGTTTCCGACTTGGTTAGATGTTGTGAAGTTGTTTTTCTTAATTCCATCGTCACACACTTTAGTTGTCTTCTGTGGTCTTTTCAGGCCTTTTGAGGTCAGTTCTTCACCAGCTTGTTGATTTGCCTCCTACTGAGGTTTCTGCTGTGCTTCTCTGACATGTTTTTATTTGGGATTTTCAGCTTAATGACTGCTTCTTTCACTGCCGCTGACATCTCTTTTGGCCTCATATACAAATTACAGTGAAAAGCAACAAAAATGTGAGGCCACAAAACCAGTTTTCCAATTCCCGTCAGAAAATCTTGGCTGTGTATAAATTTCTTAAACAGCCAATACAATTTTTTTTGTGAAACGCTTTGAATTAAAAGCTGAAAGTCTGCAATTTCACTGCACTGCAGTCACATCTGACTTTTGATTTAAAACCGATTGCGGTAGTAAAACACAGCTTTATGATGTTTAATGAAGACGATAAGAAAGTGTATTTTCTTACAATCAGCGTATATGGTGCCTCTTTCTTCTCCCCGCCGTCTTCTTTCGGTGGTGCCGTTGACTGTCCCGGTTGTGCCGCCGTATCAGAGGCGGCAGTGGCCGGGCCTGTTGGTGACGTATCCACAAAGACTTCATCTGTCACCCTGAAACGGATCTCCTCTCCTTGGTCCATGTAGAGGTCATGGGCACCCTCATCGGTCTCATACTCCCAAAGCCAAACTTGCTCGGCTTCATCACTGAAGTGGCAACTAAGGAAGGCTTCACTTAAGCTAAGAAAATAACCTAAACATCATTTTGATTATAATAACAGGGATTTGGAAACAAAACTGCACTTTATGTAATTCACAGAAACATATGTCAGGATACAATTTTGCAGGCTGCTGAAGTGACTCTGGTGGGATGAGAATGTCATCAAAGAAGCCCATGGTCACTGTGAAGCAGAGAAGTGCTTTAGAAAGGTACTTTTATATTGCCCGCTGCAGATGAAAGTAGGGACACAGGAAGTTTCTTAAGCAGACTTTAAAGAAAAGCTTCACGATCATCTTTAAATACCTTGTAGAAAATATTTTAATGAAAAATCATATATAATGATGATTTTTTTATATACAGTATTTACAAAGACTGCGCAATGAGAAGACTGCACATAAGATGCGACCGACCCGCTTGCATATGAACTTCTTTCTAAAGGCACAAAAACAGGGAGGAGAATATTTAAATCAAGCGTCCAAACTGATTTACTAAAATTCACAACGCACGGTGCTAATTGTTCCAAAATTTAAAGCCCAAAAACAAATCCCGTGATCGTGGTGGTAACACTCCAGTAACTGCCACTGAAAGCTGTTTGGTATGTAGACTTGAAACAGGGTCTTGTGTGGTAAGTTTGACATCACGGTAGATGAGCTCATCCATGATTTTGAATGATGTGGTGGGACTGATTTTGTATTCTCCTGTTTCTATGATTTTTTTGATTCAGTGTTTGACATTTTGTAGGCTCCTGCTGTGCCTTCCATACTGTCTTAACCATAATGGAAAGTTATTTGGAGGGTACCAATAAAGCATACATGAGGGTGGCACCTTCTGGCACTGGAGACACTGACAAGTTATTTATATTTTTTAAGCAAAAGTTTCCAAAATGTTGATTTGTAGACAGTCTCTGCATTACTGCACAGTTAATAGCTTAAATACTGGTTAAAAAAAACTTCTAAAGATGTCACCCTGAACTCTGGGAGATTTTGATGGTTGGTTTCGAGGCTAATATCAGTCAGCAAGGAGAATGCTTGTTTGTTGCCGCCCTAACCTTCCTCTGAGGGTGTGGAGAATAAACGTGCAGACACATGTGTTAAAATGGTGCTGTGCAGATGTCAAAAATTACCGTAAACTCCCTCCTGACTGCAGTACTTGATCTTGCCGATGAGGATCTCATCAAGGAAGGGGTGAAAAACAACATACCTGAAATGAACTGACACAAAGACCAGAGAAGGTAAGGGGGAGTTACCACTCACCACCATCTACCTTGTTTGTGCACTAACAGTAGAAAAAGGTGAGTTTTGCTTTGATGTCTGAGGTATTACAAGCAGTATATGACTTTAACTCAACTACAGCAAGGCTGTCTCAGCTATTTGATGATGATCGTCATACCTTTGGTGTGAGAGGCTCCATCTCCTGGGAATATATAGGAGTCCTCGAGTTTTGTGATGTCGTACAAGCAGATGCAGAGTCCCACGTTATAGACCACCTAATGTAAGCACAGCACTACACAATTTAACACACAAACTTCTGCTAAAAGGACAATATATGTTCAGTATTTTAGCTACCAGTCTTATCCTAAAAATGTTTGTAAATGGAATTCCCTATTAAAATTGTTGCATCTCAAGTCTAGGTGGCAATGCCATGTCTTCTCTTACTGAAGATGCCTGAATACATTGCATCTCTTCTCAAAACACTACTCATGAGGTGAACTATCAAGAACTTCAGTGTTTAAAGGCTTGTACCGTTGAAGGAGACTAGTAATGGGTATCTAAAGGCTTTTTTGATCAGGCTCTGACCGCGGGAGTAGTTCAGATAACCTGGATGGGTCTCAGCAAGGTTTAGGGTCACCAGATGCCATGGAAACATTAGCCTTTCTTGAACTCTATTAGAGGGATGATCAGTTTCCACAACATACGCCCTCATTTTATGTTTTAGTGATAACGATGAAAATGGTGAGTGCTTTCCAAGATCTCACACAGGTGTCCAAGTTATCTAAGCCCTTTGTTTAGTGACCTACACTAGTTTTATCTGCTAAAGGGCAAAGTGAAACCAAATCGTACTGAATGACAGAGCCACTGAATCCACTCAGTGCAGAGGTCGGGTTTTTCCTTGCATTTGCCACCCACGCGTATAGCTTAAAAATAAGAGGATGAATTTATAAAGGACCCTGGATGAACTGTTAGTACAGCTTGTGTTTTGTGTGGCGAAAATTGATCCTAAGTCTGCTAGAATTGTCTCCATCACCTTGTTGGCCAGTTTCTTGTTCAGTTCCTCCGCAACAGCCTCGTTGAGTTGCCGGTGAAAATTCCAGGGCGGAATTCGCACGGTGTCGACCATTTCCACCAGCACGAACATGATGACCGGACACTGGTCACCTACCCACTAATTAACATACGTTGAAATAATAATAAAAGCAATAAAAACATTAATTAATGATTAGAAAGTAGTATCCACGTTTCTTGTTTGTTTGTTTTTGCGACAGCTGATTTACGGCATGTCGCAATTCTAAACGACTACGGCAGGTTTTTGGTGCCACCTAGTGGATGTAACACTGCAATTGCTAACAAATACCGCAAACCATGGACTCGTTAGTGTAACATACCACGGCCTGCCACGACATGCCAGAAAGGGCCAAAAGCTTGGAGGTTCTGGTACTTCATACCCCCGGCTGTGTAGTCCAGAAGGGTCAAGTCAAGTCAGAAAACCTGGTCTGTTGAGGGCAATTACCAAAGTCACCTTGAATTTGGTTGCTACTTTATTACCGAGATTACGGTAAGGGTGCTGCGTAGCTGAATAAGAAGTCTGCGCTGCAATTTTGAAATTGTTAATTTGTTTGCAAAAGTTACATTCTTCTACTTAACCCAATACAGGTTTTATAATAAATTATTATACATACATCATAAATCATAACCAAAAATGTGATGAGTCATAAATCATGTAATAATTAAATCCTTAAGAGCTGACGACAAATCTGTAAAGAAATTCCATTTTGACTTTCGTTCTATCGACAATTATTATTGATTGATTGATTTTCATTACAACAAAGATTTAATAGGTTTCTGTAAATTATTGTTATTAATAATAACAATAATAATTCATGTTTAAGTTTAACTCATGTCAGTCCATGGTAACTGTCTTATCATACTAGTGTACATTTAAAAAAAATATTAGTGTTACATCTTGATGCATGCTCAATCATCCAGGAAAGTAAATCTCCAAAAGTTGATTCTGTTCATCTGGACATAGCGTTTTGTGGGAGAAACGTTTCATCACTCATCCAAGTGACTTCTTCAGTCTCAGCTGACTGCAGGTTTCCCCAAATCTTATAAACAGTACATTACATAATGACTGAAACCAGCCCACTGAAGGGACAATGGGCTCGGAGGTCAGTTCCTTATTCTGAATTATGCAAATTCTCATGACCATTGATCAACAACCACTGATCAATGGCCGTGAGTACCATTCACAGACAGTTGGGGAATGGCTACAATCACAGCATTGTAAGATGGCGAAAGATGTACCCTTAGGCCCCCTCCTCGATTCAGAGATGGTCTTTCTCTTTTCACGTAAATGGCCTCCTTGACTCCGCGCTCAAACCAGCGTTCCATCCTGGACATGGAGGAACGCTGGCTTGAGCGCGGAGTCAAGGAGGCCATGGCTGTTGATCAATGGTCCTAACCCTAACCTTAAGAGAGCTGTGCATAAACAAATACTCCCAAACTTCAATAAACTGAGGCAACATTGTAAAGAAGAGTCGGTCGAAATTCCTCCTCCACAGTTTGCAAAACTCTGAACATATTTTAATGACAGCTGATGTTTACTCTCCACTTAAGTTAACACAGCAAAACACACTTTTCAGCTTTTTGTGTATTTTTAAACTGAGTTGGGGGTTTTTTGTTTCTTTTTTGACACATGGAATGTAAATGTGCATTTCTTTAATGCATGAAGCCTCAGGGTTTGTGTTTGTGTGAACAGTGCGATTTATAGTCGCCTGCACCAACATCGTGCCAAATGCATTTGCCTTCTGCCTGTTAGATTTTAACTCACAAAAATGTACTTGTGGGAAACTGGCACAAGTACAGGGGAGAAATTAGAGCACTGTGTGTGCTGCCCACATCCTTGCACCCAGCAACTGAATCAGGAGGAGCCACAGTCAGCTGATCTGGAGTCTGCTCTCTCCGTAGCAGAGGGCCCAAAAAATGCACCAAGGAACAGATGCTCTTTAAAGAGATCATAAATGCCGTAATTACAAGCGCCTCAAGAAAGGCAAAGGTGTCGCCATCCGAAGAGTCAGCGTCTCTGTGGGCGCAAGTTAAAGAAAAACCACTAAATATCAAACAAAAGAGGATCAAAAGTCTTGAAAAAGTCATTTTTAAAGTCATTTCAAAGGTGCTGGATATTCCATAAAGACTGCACTGGCTGTAGCTCAGCCGCACCAGGAAGTGGTCATTTCTATATTCAAAGATCGCCTCTTCCGAAAGAAGCGAAAACGAACAAGGTTATTCTCATGGTGTGGTGTGGAAAAACAGAGGACGATGGAGGCCAACTACCAGAAACTAAAAAGATCTCCAAAAGACTTTTACAAGAGTTTGAAGATAATATATTTCCAATCACCATCTGGTGTTAGTGGCAGATCTTATGATGCTGACAAAAAAGAGCATGCGAGCGCACTTATTCATGCTGTACATGCTGCAAAAACTTCCCACTAAAAACCTTTGGTTAAGCAATGGATCCAAAGAGATGCAAAGGAAGAGGTGGTGGAGGAGGAGGTGGTCTAGGACACCGGGAGGAGGTGGGGGAACATAATTGGCCATCGGGCTCTTGTAAATGTCCCTGGTCAGCGTGGAGGGAATGTCACTATGTGCGCAGCCATCAGAACAACGAGGAATACTCCACTACCATGCAATTCTAGGAACCTATAACACTATGCTTCTCCTTGCTTTTCTTGATGGTCTAAAACAACATATGTTCCAGCTGGACTACAGGGAACCAGCACAGCCAGAGCAGCCTCACTAAGTTGTTGTTTGGGATAATGTCAGCTTCCATCGTGCTGCTCTGGTTCATTACTGGTTTACCAAAAATACTAATGTCTTTCTGCCTGCATACTCTCCCTTTGTAAACCCAATAGAGGAGTTATTTTCGGCATGGTGGTGCAAAGTGTACGACAGAGAACCTTATGTCCGTGTTCACCTCCTACGGGCCATGGAAGAAGCCTGCCTAGATATATCAGTAGATGCATGCCAGGGGTGGATCAGGCATGCATGAGGATTTTACCCCCACTGCCTGGCCAGGGCCAATATAGCCTGTGATGTGGATGAGACGTTATGGATTTGTGTTTACTGTTTGATTGATCCTTTTGATTTGTGATCCTCTGGAGCTTCTTCTGAACTGAGAGAGCAGTGAATCCAGCTGATGGTGAGCGTGTTGAGTATTTACCTAAACAGCCCACTACTCCCCAAAATCCACACTCTGTGTTTCCCTTCCTCTTGATAGACTCTTCTACCACACTAAGCATCCAGCTTGTACTGTCTCCAACCTCGACATCCCAGCTGTGAGTCCCTGAGTTAAAGCCCTCAGAGCTCATGACAGAATAGAACCAATCAAACCTCTCTGGATTATCAGGAAGCCGCTGCCTCGCTCCTTCTCTCACTGTTCAGATCTTCAGACAGGATAAGGTCTGGATGAGCAGTGTTTGGGTCCAGAATGAGAGGAGTGTAGGAGACCATGTTCTTCATGTTGTTCCAGATGTTGAAGGTCAAGTTGCCCAGGTGTTTGGCTCAGTCTATCAGAGCTCCTGAAGGCAGCTGTGGATCATCCAGCAGGAGGCAGCGCTGGACTTTTTCAAACGAGAACAGCTTGTACAACTGAGGGATCGTATAAGAACCGGAAAGGGCATGTTTAGAGGTGTGGGCCTGCTCCTGAAATTAAGATATTTTATCTCCAAAAATGTGTGAGTGCAGGTGTTTATTGCAGGTCAAAAAACATTTTCTGAAGCTCAGAAAATAAATTGTGACTCAGTGTTGTGAGCTTTTGTTTCAGGCTTTGTTCTGGTTATTTGTCAGTTTCCCCAACAATGGGGGTGTTGTCCAGTCACACAAAAACAGGTGGTGTTTAGATGGATTCACTTTGTTACAGACCTATAAAAGTGAAATGGATTGTAAACATGTGTTTTTGGCTCCTCTCACTGAACAACCAGCAGTTACTGCAGGGGTGGGCAACTCCAGGCCTCAAGGACATCACCCAGAGATGGCCCTAGACGTCTCAGGACACATACACAGTGTGTGTGTGTGTGTGTGTGTGTGTGTGTGTGTGTGTGTGTGTGTGTGTGTGTGTGTGTGTGTGTGTGTGTATAAAAAGATTCCTCTATATATATATTTTATATATATAAAAAATATATATATCCTAGAAAAAACATACAATATCAATCAATACACTGGGATCATTAAGTCTGAGAGCTGCATTGGATTAAAATGGTTTTTCCACCACTTTTTTCATCTGCAGGTCACATGTCACTGTTGAGAAACCCAAGCGATTAGTTACATTTTCCATATAAAAATATAAGACCTTCCCTTTGATTACATTTTCTCTATGTAGAATATTGAAGGGATGGTGGGAGTTGTTAAACATAAATGCGATAAGATCTCATTGAAAATGGAACAAATATGTTGTTGAAAAAACTCACCACTTGGTGGCACCAAACTACACACAAAGTCAAATAACTGAACAATTAATTATTGAATTTACAACCTTTGCTGAGCCTCCCTAGAAAAATATTCTCATTGAGTTTTATTAAACCACTGCGGTGTTGCTTTATTCATGGATACATGTCAAAGATGTTTTAATTTTATTATACTAAAAGTCATGTCATTATGAACATGTAATAAAACCTCGAACACTTGCTTGGACACCTTTCCTTGAACAGTCCACATGTGGTTTTGCAGGGCTCCTCAGACATATGATCTGATTTGGGTTTGATGTTTTGGGAGTCTAAACTTGTAAATCTGTGGCAAGTAAAATCATTGGTGTGGTGTGAGAATGGACTCGTTCGGTGAAACTTGTACATTTTTGCACTAATTTACAACATAATTTACTCTTTAGTAAAATCTTCCAAAAGAAATCACCAAATATAACAGTTTGACATGTTTAAAATGGTATTTTTGCACGAACAAGGGTTTAAAAAAAAAAAAAAAAAGAACTATTAGCCAAAAACTTGGCATAACTCAGCATGATGCACTGTATGTCCTTACACTACATCTGAGGAAACAATAGACTAATAGTATCTGGACTTCCCTGAGCCTAGTTCTGTCTAAGGATGACTATTGTTGTGATTTGGCACTATATAAATAAAATTGAGTTGAGTGATGAATCAAATTTTTCAGCATGACAATGATCCCAAACACACTGACAATGTAAAAGCAAACCTGGATAGGAAGAAAAATAAACCACACACACTGTGGAAAACTATCAGTCATGGATTGGCCTCCCCAGAGCACATACCTCAACATTATTGAAGCAGGATGGGA